ATTAAACAGCAAGGGCAATTGTTTGGATGCACCAACAACCAAACCAACCATAGGTCATTTGGGAAATTCTCAACACGGGTCGACTAGCAGACAAGTACAGAGACAGAAACATTCAGGTTAGAAAAGACACGCCAGAGGTGAATGAAAGATGGACAGAAGGAAAATGTGCAAAAACAGAAGAATGTAACAAGCTGAACATTAGTCTTCTTCTTCTTCGCATTCACCGACTTTAAACTCCAGTGGAAAGTTCTGGTTGTTCGTCCACTTCTGGACTGCAGTCCTGTTTCAGAACCAGGGTGTTGCGTGTGTATCTGTTTGACAGATCTCATTTGCGTGCAGACTGTTGGCTCCTTGCCTCTCAGGTAGATGCACTCCGACTTCGAAGGAAGCTGCCAATAAGTCGACTCTTATGACATGCTTTTGGTCAGGCAGTGGGTCTATTCTTGTTTTCCCTATATCAGGGCCCCGGAACCCACACGGGAATGAACAACAGTAAAAAAATGTTGCCATTATATCATCTGAGAGAGAACATCAAGAAGTAACGCCATCAAAGACACAGAGGGTAACCTCTCGCAGACAGTAACGCCAACAAAGACACAGAGGGTAACCTCTCGCAGACAGTAACGCCAACAAAGACACAGAGGGTAACCTCTCGCAGGCAGTAACGCCATCAAAGACACAAAGGGTAACTTCTCGCAGACAGTAACGCTAGCTAAGACACAGAGGGTAACCTCTCGCAGACAGTAACACCATCCAAGACACAGAGGGTAACCTCTCGCAGACAGTAACACCATCCAAGACACAGAGGGTAACCTCTCGCAGACAGTAACGCCGTCCAAGACACAGAGGGTAACCTCTCGCAGGCAGTAACGTCATCCAAGACACAGAGGGTAACCTCTCGCAGACAGTAACGCTATCCAAGACACAGAGGGTAACCTCTCGCAGGCAGTAACGTCATCCAAGACACAGAGGGTAACCTCTCGCAGGCAGTAACGCCATCCAAGACACAGAGGGTAACCTCTCGCAGGCAGTAACATCATCCAAGACACAGAGGGTAACCTCTCGCAGACAGTAACGCCATCCAAGACACAGAGGGTAACCTCTCGCAGACGTCCTAAACAGATGGTGTGAATAGTGTTCTAGGCCAGACAGCAAACAAACAGCAACACAGAAAGATGACAGCTTCCCAATCCTCCAGACGAGGATGATCTGGCCATCCAAACTAAAAAAAAAAAAAAAGGGGGGGGGGGGGGTTATGGGAAAAGTCCTGTGGTATTGACAACATCCCAGCTAAGATCCTAAGGCGAGAAGGGGGGTGGGGGGGCGTTACTGACATCTTCACAGAAAGCTGTTAAAAAAATGGAGGAGACTGGTGAAATGACATCTTTTTAGACCAAGTTATTCAGGAAAATTTACAACAATGTTACAATTATAGGACCACAGGTCTCATCAGCCACCCCAGTAAAGTCATACTCAATCAACTCCTCTCCTAAACAGACTGAACAGCAAGCAGAAGGAATCTTAGCGGAGGGGCGGCTTTGGAAGAAGAACGGTTGGACAGAAATTTCATCTACGCATATTTTTAGAGCATACCAAATTTCAACAACATGCACTGAGTTACAGATTTTAAAGGTGGACACGATTTCTGGATCGGACTGGAACTCCGATTACACAATTTATAGTGCCAGCTTCAGTGTTGTCAATTTTATTTCCCACACAATGTTGGTACATTTAAAATGGCCACACATCATGAATGGTAAATTCACCCGCCCCAGGCGCCACATCTGGTCAGTGTAAAGGGACCACACGCCGTGGCAGGTCAAATTAAGTCGACCTCACGCTGTGGCTAGTCAATTCTGGACTCATCTATGGGGAAGAACAAAGTCAAATCAATCTAGGACATACAGTATGATGACAGGGGGCGCTCCGGCATTGCAGGTGGCCGTCGACTGGCAAACTGCGTGTGGGCTGTCCAGGTAGTATACAGCACTGGAAGGGATTTGCCGGCTGGGACTGGGGAAGATATTGATTCTCAAGGGGTCTTAGAGAGGAACTATGAGAACATGTTTTGTATGTCACCTGGGGATCTGAAAGTATGTGTTTCGTGGGTCACTTGAATAATGAGAACATGTTTTGTGGGTCACCTGGGGATCTGAAAGTATATGTTTCGTGGGTCACTTGAATAATGAGAACATGTTTTGTATGTCACCTGGGGATCTGAAAGTATGTGTTTCGTGGGTCACTTGAATAATGAGAAAACTGTTTTGTGGGTCACCTGGGGAAATGAAAGTATATGTTTCGTGGGTCACTTGAATAATGAGAACAATGTTTTGTGGGTCACCTGGGGATTTGAAAGTAATGTGTTTCGTGGGTCACTTGAATAATGAAGACATGTTTTGTGGGTCACCTGGGGATCTGAAAGTATGTGTTTCGTGGGACACTTGAATAATGAGAACATGTTTTGTGGGTCACCTGGGGATCTGAAAGTATATGTTTCGTGGGTCACTTGAATAATGAGAACATGTTTTGTATGTCACCTGGGGATCTGAAAGTATGTGTTTCGTGGGTCACTTGAATAATGAGAACATGTTTTGTGGGTCACCTGGGGATCTGAAAGTATATGTTTCGTGGGTCACTTGAATAATGAGAACATGTTTTGTGGGTCACCTGGGGATTTGAAAGTATGTGTTTCGTGGGTCACTTGAATAATGAAGACATGTTTTGTGGGTCACCTGGGGATCTGAAAGTATGTGTTTCGTGGGTCACTTGAATAATGAGAACATGTTTTGTGGGTCACCTGGGGATCTGAAAGTATATGTTTCGTGGGTCACTTGAATAATGAGAACATGTTTTGTGGGTCACCTGGGGATCTGAAAGTATGTGTTTCGTGGGTCACTTGAATAATGAGAACATGTTTTGTGGGTCACCTGGGGATCTGAAAGTATGTGTTTCGTGGGTCACTTGAATAATGAAGACATGTTTTGTGGGTCACCTGGGGATCTGAAAGTATGTGTTTCGTGGGTCACTTGAATAATGAGAACATGTTTTGTGGGTCACCTGGGGATCTGAAAGTATATGTTTCGTGGGTCACTTGAATAATGAGAACATGTTTTGTGGGTCACCTGGGGATCTGAAAGTATGTGTTTCGTGGGTCACTTGAATAATGAGAACATGTTTTGTGGGTCACCTGGGGATCTGAAAGTATGTGTTTCGTGGGTCACTTGAATAATGAGAACATGTTTTGTGGGTCACCTGGGGATCTGAAAGTTTATGTTTCGTGGGTCACTCGAGGAATAAGGAGAACATGTTTTGTGGGTCACTTAGGGATCTGAAAGTATATGTTTGGTGGGTCACTTGAATAATGAGAACATGTTTTGTGGGTCACCTGGGGATCTGAAAGTATATGTATCGTGGGTCACTCGAGGAATAATGAGAACATGTTTTGTGGGTCTGAAAGTATATGTTTGGTGGGTCACGGGGAACTAAAAGAACGTGTTTGGTGGGTCACTTTAGGAACTAAGAGAACGTATTTGATGGTGCACTTGGGGAACTAAAGAAATGTTGGGTCAACAAATAAACTAAAAGAAACACGTTTTTGGAGGTCAACAGAGAGACTAAGAGAACATGTCTAGTGGTCCATCCAGTGAAACTAAAATAACGTGTGTGATGAGTCATCTGGAGAACTTCCAAGTGGATTATCAGAGAAACCGATAGAACGAACGGAATGCACAATTCTTATGATACAACAATGATACAACAATGATACAATAGTGTTAGTTAGCTCCTTTCTGCTTTTCTACGCGAGAGTATCTACAGAGTGCAATGCGGAGGTGTGGGATTCACGGCTCCCCTCCGAATAATGGGTTTGAATGATCGCGCTTAAAAATAAACCATAACAGGGCCTCAATAGGTTTGATTCCGTCTGAGTTGCATCGATATTACCCTTCGATTGTTTGAGTTTTAGGGTTAGAGCTAGGGGTATGGTTAGGGCTAACCCTAACTCAGTAAATTAAATACATAATATATTTAACATCTACAGCTGCCGGTTCATCATTCGGTACAAGTATTGCTAATCTGTGTAGTAGCTGATGGTCTGCCTGCCATATTTGCCGGAAATAAATCCAGCCTAATTTTACATATCACTGAGGCACTGTTAGGGTATGTTTTTTAACAGGGTCACTCAGACCCACAATTCACAGGAGAGCTAGTATCACAGGAGAGCCGGATTCACAGGAGAGACGGATTCACAGGAGAGCCGAATTCACGGGAGAGCCGGATTCACAGGAGAGCCGGATTCACGGGAGAGCCGGATTAACAGTCCATGGAGACTGACATGTTAAGTATGAATACGAAGAAACCAGTTGGCGTTACAAAAAATGTTCTCTGCAGTTTGTGACTGGGATTTCAGGTCCGTCGCTGCCACCACCGTTGCCACGGACTGTGATTCCTTTGCCTGCCTATCATCACCAATTATTAAGTCATTCACAGAAAGTCGCTCTCGTCAGTTCACGACTGAAAATCTTTCTCCAGCCCTATGGGCTTTCACAGCCACATCTTCAACATCCACCGTCAAGGTTGTCTGCCTCTGCCTCGATCATTTTTTCCGCACAATAGAAAAAATTGGTACCTGGACCCATCGCCGTTTCTTTCTCAACACACACACTACAAGCGATTGTTTTGGACTACCCACACAGCACAGCAATAGAAAACACTATCACAGCGATACAACAATGGAAAGACGCGATACAACATGAAAACGCTAGCACAGCGACCAACATGCTAGCACAGCGATACAACAATGAAACGCTAGCACAGCGATACAACTATGACAAATGAAACGCTTTACTTCTCAAGACACTCAACACAACACTACAAGCGATAACAATGAAACAACTTTTACACTGAAGTTTGCAACAATGAAACATTAGCACAGCGATACAACAATGAAACGCTTGTACAAAGATACAACAAAGTATTCAAGGAGAACACAGAACACCTACTTCTATATTCAGTTTGTTTCGCTCCTTTTTATCGTTGTTTCCATGACTACCAATAGTCAGATGATCAAGCTTCAGAACTTTCGACGTTTCCGTGTCCAACTTCCGAGGCGGGAGATCAACTGTCGAGTGAGAAGGGAAAAACACAAGTGATTATTTCATTGCATCATGGGATAGCTCTACCTTGTGTGTGCGAATGACGGTATGTGTGTGTGTATGTGTGTACGTGTGTGTATGTATGTATGTATGTATGTATGTATGTATGTATGTATGTATGTATGTATGTATGTATGTATGTATGTATGTATGTGTGTGTGTGTGTGTGTGCGTGCGTGCGTGCGTGCGTGCGTGCGTGCGTGTATGTATGTATGTATGTATGTATGTATGTATGTATGTATGTATGTATGTATGGGTGTATGGGTGTATGGGTGTGTGTGTGTATAAATATATATATATATATATATATATATATATATATATATATATATATATATATGTATGTATGTGTGTGTGTGTGTGTGTGTGTGTTTGTAAAGATCTATGTACGTAAGCCCTACACAGATGTAAGTTTGTATGTACATAGTGTCATATGAATACATATTTACCTGAGAACATGTCAATAGTGTATATGTTTAACCTGTTTTAACACCAAATACATACACGCACACATATACTATGGAAAAAGATCTGCTGTGAGATGGCGGACAAGTCAGTACGTGAAAATTCTCTCTCTCTCTCTCTCTCTCTCTCTCTCTCTCTCTCTCTCTCTCTCTCTCTCTCTCTCTCTCTCTCTCTCTCTCTATTGACACCCCCGCCCCCAACTCAAACACACACACGGCTTTGTGTCTTAAAAATCAATGCATTTTCTTTATTTTCAGAATAAGGGCAACAAATGGTGCCTTATAGGTGTCGATACTAAGTACTATTTAAGATCGCGCTCCCGTGTACGCACCCCTACCCCCCCCCCTCCACACCCACACACACACACACACACACACAAGAAGCCACAAACACGCAATGTCGCTTAGATCGTATTTCTTATGAGCTTTCAGCTTACAGTTTCCCCATGAGGGTTCCAGGGCCCTATTGTGGGGCAAACAGGAATAGACACACTATCTCCCCAAAAAGCATGTCGTAGGAGTCGACTAACTGGGACACCCTCTAAAGTCAAAAAACATCTGCCTGGGAGGCAAAGAACCAAGAGTCTGCATACAAATAAGCCAGATTGATGTGCGAAACGGCGCGCACACAACACTCATGTTTTGGAACAAAACTAAAGTTAGGAGGTGGATGAACACTAAGAAATTTCCGCCGGAGTTTACAGTGAACGCGACGACGACGAAGGAGAGAAGAAGAAGAAGTCGAAGAAAAAAAGGAGGAGGAGAAGGATGAAGAAGACAAGGAAGGAGAAGAAAAGGAGGCGGAGGAGGAAGAAGAAGAAAAAGGAGGAAGAAGAATAAGATGGAGGGGAGGAAGAAGGAGTAGGAGAAGAATAAGATGGAGGGGAGGAAGAAGGAGTAGGGGGAAGACAAAGAATGGAGAAGGAGGAAGGAGGAGGAGGAAAAAAGAAGAAGAAGAAGAAGAAGAAGAGAAGAAGAAGAAGAAGAAGAAGAAGAAGAAGAAGAAGAGGAAGAAGAAGAAGAAGAAAGAAGAAGAAGAAGAAGAAGAAGAGAAGAAGATGATGAAAAAGAAAAAAGAGAAGAAGAAGAAGAAGAAGAAGAAGAAGAAGAAGAGAAGAAGAAGAAAAGAAGAAGAAGAAGAAGAAGAAGAAGAGAAGAAGAAGAAGAAGAAGAAAAAGAAGAAGAAGAAGAAGAAGAGAAGAAGAAGAAGAAGAAGAAGAAGAAGAAGCCGAAGACAGAAGAAGAAGAAGAAGAAGACGAAGAAGAAGAAAAAGAAGAAGAAAAGAAGAAGAAGAAGAAGAAGAAAGAAGAAGAAGAAGAAGAAGAAGAAGAAGAAGAAGAAGAAAAAAAGGAAAAGAAGAAGAAGCAGAAGAAGAAGAAGAAGAAGAAGAAGAGAAGAAGAAAGAAGAAGAAGAAGAAGAAGAGCGAAGACGAAAGAGAAGAAGAAGAAGAAGAAGAAGAAGAAGAAGAAGAAGAAGAAGAAAAGAAAAAGAAGAAGAAGAAGAATAAGAAGAAGAAGGAAGAAGAAGAAGAAGAAGAAGAAGAAGAAGAAGAAGAAGAAGAAGAAGAAGAAAGAAGAAGAAGAAGAAGAAAAAAAAGAAGAAGAAGAAGAGAAGAAGAAGAAAAAAAGAAGAAGAAGAAAAAAAGAAGGAAGAAGAAGAAGAAGACGAAGAAGAAGAAGTAAAGAAAAGAAGAAGAAGAAGAAGAAGAGAAGAAGAAGAATTAAGAAAGAAGAAGAAAGAAGAAGAAGAAGAAGAATAATAAGAAGAAGAAGAAAGAAGAAGAAGAAGAAGAAGAGAAGAAGAAGGAAGAAGAAGAAGAAAGAAGAAGAAGAAGAAGAACAGAATCAGAAGAAGTAAGAAAACAGAAGAAGAAGAATAAGCAAGAAGAAGAAGAAGAAGAAGAAGAAGAAGACAGAAGCCTAAGAAGAAGAAGGAAGAAAAAAGAAGAAGAATCAGAAGAAGAAGAAGAAGAAGAAGAGAAGAAGAAGATACGAAGAAGAATAAGAAGAAGAAGATAAGAAGAAGAAGAAGAAGAAGAAGAAGAAGAAGAAAAAGAAGAAGAAAAAAAAGAAGAAGAAGAAGAAGAAGAAGAAAAAAAAAGAAGAAGAAGAAAAAGAAGAAGAACTTACAACATTAAAAAAGGCAGACGAAACCCATCAAGCAAGAGAAAGGTAATTATAATCAAGCCAAAGTCTTGGATACAACAATTGTATCAGGAGAAAGTATTCAGTCGTGTTCTTCATGAACCCAGGGGTCGCGGACAAGTTCTGACACAAATCTGCCCAATCTTGTAACATGGTAGGATGGTTTGTTGTTGTTCTCCGGAATTTTTTCTTTCTCCAGATCCTGAGTGGCGTGTACATCCGTTTCACATATCTGGCTTATCTGTATGCAGACTTGTGGTCCCTCGCCTCTCATGCAAATTTACTCCGACTTCAAAGGATGTTAAAATTAATTGACTCGCACGACATGCTTGTTGAGGAGGCAGTGGGTCTGTTCTTGTTTTCCCCCACAACGGGGTCCCAGAACCCACACAGGGAACACCAGGCTTGTGTATCCGCTTCAAGTGTCCAGGTATATCCTCTATGGAGGTCTAAAGAGGTGTCAGCAAAGGTCTGTGACGCGTCACCCAGAATGGCTCAAACCTTCAGCCCGGAGGGGAGAAAACGAAAGTAGAAGGAGAAGGAGGATGAGAGTCTCTAGAATCAAGTGGACAGTATAACAGAACAGAGGCAGTATAACAGAACAGAGGTAGTATAACAGAACAGAGGTAGTATAACAGAACAGAGGTAGTATAACAGAACAGAGGTAGTATAACAGAACAGAGGTAGTATAACAGCAGAGGTAGTATAACAGAACAGAGGTAGTATAACAGAACAGAGGTAGTATAACAGAACAGAGGTAGTATAACAGAACAGAGGTAGTATAACAGAACAGAGGTAGTATAACAGAACAGAGGTAGTCTGAACTGTAAAAACCCAGTTGAAAAGACAGGTAGACAACAGGTAGCCCCCACCCCTTTTTTTTCCATGTGAGAACTTTAGCTAGCAGGAAGGAGAAAGTGTTAGTACGAGAGTGTCCCAATGGCAGTTATCTATCAGGTGCCGTCACCACATTGAAGGTTCACTGCTGCAAAGGATCTATATCATGCTATGTCGGTCGCCATGGGTGTGAAACCTCTTAGACTGCGGTTCGTCCATGTCTTCAATTTATCATTCCATTTGTATCACTGCCTGGCTCTAACTCGCTTGCCTTAAAAGTTTCCCCCCAGAATTGTTTTACAAGAGTGTCTTTGAAATATGGTAGCAATATGTCACTCGTCTCGTTTTTCAGTGTGTGTGTTTTTTTAAATAGTTTATTTCCATCCTAAATTAAATTGATTTTAAGTCTCATCAGAATCTCTGTAAATAACTGTTTAGGTTTCCATGAAATACAACTTATTCTTCTGTAAATAACTGTTTCAGTTTCCATGAAATACAACTTATTGTTCTGTATATGCCTGTCTCCAGAAACTCAATATGAAATACTGTATATCAATTCCCGATTCCTTCAAGTGATCAACGCTTTTATCAACGAAGAACAAACTACAATAACCAAACATCTCAGCTACGAACGAAGACATCGGGCAGCTGATCTGTAGAGAAATGGAAATGAACATCAAGGTCAAAAGAGACAAAACGAAACAGGGGGAGATAAAGACATGCATGGATGCTCACCTGTTCTTTGTATTCCCAGACAGTGTAGCAACATGTTCATGGCACGGCAAGACCTGACCGGCTATGTGCAGTCTAGCCAACCTGTCGTCTGTCTACGATCGATTCTTCAAATATACTTGAAGTCAACTCCACATGCTGTTGTTATTTCCAGACTTGCATAGAAGGCAAACTCCTCGCAACCAGGTTTATTGTGCGCTCTGTGCCGCAAGAGAAACAATCAACACGTCCCACCGACTCCTGCAGCAACAACGGTGTCCAAGAAACAAACACCACAACATCGTCCAACGGCAGAACCGCCAACAATAACAACATTAGCGATGTAAAACTCTAACCAAGATGGCCACTAGCGTCCGCAGAATCAACAAGTCGGATCTTTTCATAACACTGTCCTTGATGTCTGTCTGACAAAGTCTGTGTTTGAAGTGTTTGTGATACACAATGTTCGTGATCAACACTTACGAAGTCAATTACTTGCTGTTTTAAATGAATAAATTTGTATTTATTTTGTCGATAACATTTCCATAACTTGCTGTTGAGTGCGGTTTGGAGTGGTAACGTGGCGAAGAATAACACAAGATGGCGCGAGCAGACGGTGGCGTCTGAGTTGTAAAATGTGGTAATTAATGCGCTGTGTACACACGTTTGGACAGACAGACATGACGCTGGAGGTTTGTGGTCTGTGAGAATTGGCGAAAGATGTAATAGCTGCTGACATTTGAATTTTTGACATGTTCAATTTGGGGTAAAAGCAGACAAGTTGGGACAACAACAAGAAGATCAATAG